TATATATATATGTATATATATATGTATAGATGTGTAAAAGTCGAGTCGGTGTGTATGTAAAATCTCTATATTTTTTGCCGAAAGTTCACTGAGAATGGAGATATGCGCGTTCTTTTTCCTTTTCGACACAGTGATTCTGATAGTTGAGTCGGCGCGAAAGTTTAGCTCTTTGAAGCATCGGGCTCGTTCGGGCTGGGATAGGTGTAACAAACAGTTTTTTAAATTTTTTTAAAGGTGAATCTGATCAAATACACGTGACTTAATATTATTGGAGTCCGGACATATCAAATCAATAATTATTTCCTTGGCAGCACACTCTGTTTGACAAATGATCAGTACACCATTATATTAAGTTCATATCACAAGCCCAACATCCAATCATATGATTCCATGTTATGAATGCATTTATTTATGAATAATTGGCCGTCACGAGCCCACAATGAAATAAGCCAGCTTTCTTCGACCAATTAATGGCTAATAGACATATGGAGGACTGCATGATTCATAAAATCCACATATTTTTCTATCCATCAAATCCATCGGGACTATCTGTCAAACTAAATGTCGAGCTAATACTAACCCAAAGTATTATCTCTCTTCTCCATAAATCGTCGAAGTGCCAACAGTCACATCCCACAGAGTCAAGAGGCTCCTTAGACTCATTCGCTAAGTTCTCCTAACCAGTGCTCCTGAGGATTGACACTTAACCAAATTATTCGGTCGACATATATCTCGTAATCATTTATGAGCCACTTAACATTCATGTCATGATTTTTTTCATGAAGACAGTGTGGATAGACTTCATACATTATTCCTCGTAATATGATATTTTTCATCGCTCTAGCTCTCGATGGAGATCCATCTCTCTGTCTCTCTCTCTCCCGATCATCGAGAATTTAGGCATGAAGAACACATTGTACAAATTGTTTTTTTATTACATGACTTCTTGCTTTCCTCTATTATCTTATTCATGATAATCACATGCAGACCATCCAAAACATTGAAATTTATAAATCAACCACTCGGATAATTTTTTTAAATTGCAATATATGTGTTATTAATGTAATACTAAATTACTTAATATTATTAATATCATTTTAAAAAATAATATGATAAAACAACAAGAAATTTTTTTTAGGGTAGACATCATGCAATTTTTATTCAATACCAAGGTAGCCGAGCTGCCGCCCCTCCATATGGAAAAAAAGGTATATTTATAATATTATCACTTTTTTTTTTTAAATGATAATATTAATGCAGACCATGTATTTTACTCTTTAAAGGTCAAAATATTAAATTTTTTATTAATATGAAAATTTTGGGAGGTATAAATATTAAAAAAAAAAGGCAATTATGTAAAGACCTTCTGAAACTTCTTATTTACAAATCAACCCATGTCATTCATTATTTTTTCTAATTCTCACTAAAATATGAGATTTCATGTTAAAACCTCAACCCATATTTTTCATTATTATCAAATTCTCAATAGTTTCATCGTGGGACAATAGGGGTGTAAATGAGTTGAGTTGAGTTGAGCTCGAGCCATGCCTTTATCAAGCTCGGTTCGTCTTGCAAATTATGAGTTTGATGTCACTCTCAAAAGAGCTCTTTGGGGTAGTGGACAGCCCAAAACTTGAGTATTGCTTTTCGGCCCACACCTAACCAATGTGGGATTTTTTGTCCGTGACATTCTCCTCCACTATATCACGTGACACCCTCGTCATAGATCGACTCCTTTGAGGGTCTCACTAGACTATAGAAAGTCCACACACCTGACAAAATAATAATATACTCTGATACCACTTGTCACCTCCCAAAAGAGTTCTTCGGGGTGGTGGGCAACCTAAGGCTTAAATACTGCTTTTCGACCCTACACTTAGTCAATGTGAGACTTTTTGTCCGTGACATTAAGCTCTAGTTGAGCTCGAGCTCGGTTCATAGTGGCAATAGCCATCTCGTGAGCTCAAACTAATAATTTAATTTTTACCTGAGCTCACTAGAGAACACATTGGTGGTTGGAGAAGGAGGAGAATGTAGCAATAGCTCACCATAAAATATATCAAAATGACTAGAGATGTGCTGATCGAACCGACTCTTGAGTCGAGCTCAGAAGAGCTCGTGCTCGAGCTCGTGACTTGATAAGCTCAACTCGTGCGCTCGTTAAAGAGCCAAGCTCAAGCCAGCTCAGCTTATTTACACCCCTACGTGACATTCTTAAATATATCAATTCAGCTCAGCTTATTTACACCCTTACGTGACATGTTTAAATACATCAATTCAGTAGATCAATTAGATAATTGGCTTGTAAATATCAATGTTTAGGATGACGTGTACGTTATTAACCCTCCCATCCTCTCTATGATTGGACACCAATCCCCAAGTCACAGGGACGGCCACAACACCGAGCTCATTCATATTACGGTGGACCAGCAGCATAAATTTACATGATTCACATGGATCGGTTCCACTTAACCCGGTCAAAACGAAACTATCAGGAAGAAGGAAATAAAAAAATCTTTTTTAGTTTTTTTTGGACGGAAACTTCCACAAAACTCTTTTTTTTTTTTTTTAAAAAAAAATATTTTGATTTCATTTTTGCCTTCGTCCTCCTTCATCTACCTATAAAACCCATTCAACGATCCATCTCTGCAACAACACGCGTCTCAAAACGGCGACTGTAAGTTGCGATATCAGATATGCCGGCGCCCTAAGTTTCTCTGCGCCGATGAAAATCGTCAGCCATTGTTTGAAGATCGCCGCCGGCGATAAAGCCGACGACGGCCTTTCGCTCAGCCGCAGCGATGGTCTATTGTGGTACAAAGACGTTGGGAAGCACTCCGCCGGCGAGTTCTCCATGGCCGTCGTGCAAGCAAATTACCAGATGGAAGATGGATGCCAGATTGAGTCTGGTTCTCTCAGCTCCGACGAGGATGTTGACGCAATGAATGGAACCTTTGTTGGAATCTACGATGGGCATGGCGGAGCGGAGGCCGCACGGTTCATTACTGCTAACTTGTTCCTTAATCTGAAAGGTAAAGTTTTTAGGGTTTAGCTTTAGCCCCCCAATTTTTCCCATGGATGGAGTTGAAGGTTATGTTTCTTTTTAAAATGATTGTCATAATTTCATTCATATTTAGAATGTGAAAACTGAAGGTTTTATATTTGAAAGAGTTTTTATGAGATTTGCTATGTTTGGAATCAACATTGGAGTGCACAAATACATTTTCTTTTTTTTGGTTGGGAAGTTTGAACTTTTAAGTTATTATTGGTATTTACTAAATCTCATAAATCAGGATTTACTAAATCCTGAATGGGTTAAATCTGAAAATCTGTATGACAACAGATTTACTAAATCCTTTCACCATGTTCAATCGTAGACCGCGAAGTTAAATCCATACTGTCCTTGGGATTGAGTAGATTTGGGATTTACAGCCGATGGAATCCGGATTTACTGCATCTAGGGATTTATTTTGTCTGAAATGATTGTCTGGTAGGATTCCTCCTAAATCCTGAATAAATCCGTTGCCAGACAATCTGTTAATGACAATTAGATTAGAAATTAGTGATTAGTGATTATTGTGCGCTTTGAATTTGAGTCCACTGGTTGGAGATCTTCTAATTTGAGAGAAATCTCTCAACCATCTCCTTCACAAGCCTTGCAAGCGTCTGCATTCCTATTCAAACTATTATAATGGAGTCATATAATTACAAATTTTAGGAACAATAATGGTATTTTTGGATGGGGCATTTACATATATGCCGCCCAATTCTCTTGTATTTACATGTAACACCTTAGCTTTGATGTTTATATGCACACCGCTCAAAGCTTTCAGATCACATCAACAATACCAGTATTTTCACTTTGTAGAAAGTGAAATACACCTTTTCATGCATAAATAAGATGACATATATGTAAAAATTGAAGTTTAGGTGTTAGTTATGTAAATACATAAGAAGTAAGTGGTATGCATGTAAATCCTTCTTTTTGGATTTGAAAGGGTTAGATGAATCTGAGCAGAAAGCTTCAGCATGTCTGGATTTCCTCATGTCAAAACGGCCTCATTTTTATTAGCATGAACTATGGTTTTAATAGACTTGATTGCCATTCAAGTAGATATTGGGGAGTGAACTAATGGGACTTCAAATTTGGGTCACATATGTCAGCGATTAAATCCATTTTCAAACTAAAAATTTAAATTTTCTGCTCCAGAATAATTTTTTTTTTCTGAAGATATACATATATGCCACTCAATTCTTATGTATTTACATATCTAACACCTGTACTTCAATTTTTGCATATATACCTCCTTCCCTATGCTTGGAAAGGTGTACTTCACATTTTGAAAGTTAAAAGTGGTATTTTTTTAATGTGATATGAAAGATTTGGGTGGTGTAAATGTAATAATTTAGATGTTAGATATGCAGATGCATAAGTAGCTGATGTAGGACTAAACTCACTCTAACTGGGCTTAAAAATTAAATTTTTTTTGCTCTAATGGAGTGCAGAGATTGTTTCTGAGCACAAAGGGATATCAGTGGATGTTCTTAGGAAGGCATTTTCCACCACAGAAGAAGGTTTTCTATCCCTTGTAAGAGAGAAATGGAAGAGACTTCCACAGCTTGCATCAGTTGGTTCCTGCTGTTTGATTGGTGTCATATTCGCTGGAACATTATACGTCGCGAATGTCGGGGATTCTCGTTTGGTTTTGGGAAGATTAGGTGGCGATGGGAGAGGGACCATCGCCGTGCAGATGACAACGGATCATAATGTGAGCGATGAGGCTGTGAGGAATGAGCTGATGTCACTGCATCCTCATGATTCTCAGATTGTGGTTTTGAAACACAATGTATGGCGTGTCAAAGGTCTCATACAGGTATATTTTTTTGGAAGATTTGCATACAAACCTCTCAATTCTTATGTATTTACGCATCTAATAGCACCTTCAATTTATACATATATGCCATCTTACCTATGGATGAAGAGATGTATTCACTTTTTAAAAGTTAAAATAGTGTCATTTTTTATTTGAAATGAAAGATTTGGGCGGCATAAGTGTATAAAGTGGAGTTTAGGTGCTAGATGTAAGAAAATTGGTGTTATGTAAAAAAGGAATTTTTACATACCTACCACTCAATTCTGATGTATTTATATATCTAACAGCTAAGCTTTAATTGATACATGTATGCCACCATAACTAGCATGAATATGTATATATGTTAGTATGTAAATACATAAGAATTGGGTGGTATGTATATAAATAGCCCTTTTTTGATAAATTAATTCAGTAACATGTGCATTATTAGAAAAGATTTCTCATTACAGACAAAGGTTGTGAGATTGGTCTTCTTTCTGCAAAAATATTTTCATGAAAAACATAATGTTGGATTGAATAGAAACTTCACCTTCTTATGAATCACAAAGCAATGTTAGTATGTCATGCATGCAAATTATTTTCCATGCAGATATCCAGATCTATTGGTGATGCTTATCTGAAAGACTCACAGTTCAATCAAGAGCCTCTGCTTGCGAAATTTCGGCTTCCTCAGCCGTTCTATAAACCGGTTCTCAGCTCGGATCCGTCGATAATAACCCATAAATTGTCGCCTCGAGAGCAATTCATGATATTTGCTTCGGACGGACTATGGGAGCATTTAAGCAATCAAGAAGCTGTGGATATAGTTCGTTTCAATCCTCGTGCTGTGAGTTGCTTTCTCTATTGCTATTATTATTATTATTTTTTTGGGAAATTTACATGCGTCGCACATAATTCTTGTGTATTTACATATCTCACACATAAACTTTTATATTTACGTTCATTTTACTTTGGTGGCATCTCACTTTTAAAAAGTGATACGTGTAAATATGAAAGTTTAGGCCCATTGTTTATCTTGTAATGTATGTAGGATTTAGTATTGTTTGTAAGGAGTAAATGATAGTTGGAAGGGTATATTTTAGATGAAGGTCTTATACTTTCCTCATAAGTTCAGAATTGGGTTAGGATAGAGCGCAATACAAGGATGGGGCATTTACTTATATACCACAAATTCTTATATATTTACACATCTAACGCATGAACTTTCATATTTACACACATGCTACACAAATTTTTTGACATTACATCAAAACACCACAATTGCTTACTTTTTGAATGTCAAATACACCTTTTCATGCATGCATTTTTAACGTTGCAGTGTTATAAATGTAAATATCAATTTTTTAGGAGTTAGATATGCAAATACAAAAGAATTGTATGGCATGTATGTAAATTTCCTTATAAGAATTGATTGAATAGTTATTTGTTAGTCTGATCTCAAACCAAATTTAAAGTTTAGAAGACTTTTTTTTGTTGCATTTGAGCTGAATATCCCAAATCAGAATTTCTCTTTTTGCCCTTCATATGTTTGACAATACATGATCCCAAAAAAAAAAGATAGATATGTAATTTTCTCTTTATTTTTGTATAGTGAATGATGTCAATTTAAAATTTAAAAATGCAATTATATTTGCTATTAGGGTATATATATAAATCATTAGCAATGAATATATAATTATTTGCACTCCATCAATAAACAGACAGTCAGTTTATTCGCAACAGCTTCCTGCGGCAGCTGCACCAAATAGACCCTAAAGCTTAAATAGGTCTCAAACTCGATAAAAAAAATAAGGAATAAACTCAAATAAGAATTTAAAACTCGAGTCATGTCCAAACTCGGCTCAAATGTGATAAAAACTAAAATAAAAAAAAACTCGAATAACATAATACTCGTCTCAAATCGGCTTATTTTCACAATCTGACCCTAAATTTATTGAAAATTGCACATTTGGTGCAGGGAATTGCAAGGAGGCTCATAAAACATGCATTAATGGTGGCTGCTAAGAAGAGAGAAATGAGGTATTCTGACCTGAAGAAGATTGGTAGAGGCATCAGAAGGCATTTCCATGATGACATTTCTGTAATTGTTATATTCTTTGATCATTTATTGATCAGCAGGA